CACAGTTGTTTAAATACCAGATGTATCACCAAACCCTACTTTTCTGAATCACCCTCCACCTCTGCCAAAACTAGAAAATTAAGAAAAACACAGCCAGAAAAGAGAAAAGGAAGGAAGGAAACTGTAGACATCACACCTCTAGAAGGGTGTTTTATGAACACAGGGAAGCAATGTAGCTGGATCTCAGGAACATGCAAAGCTACGAGAACTTCAGGAGGCCTTCTGTCCCGTCTGTGCTGTTTATTCTACATCCTTTCTCTCACTTTTCTAGAACCCTTAACTTCTGCCTTAGAAACCCATTCAGGGCCCGGCGCGGTGGCGCAAGTGGCTAAGTCCTCGCCTAGCACGCCCGGGATCCCATATGGGCGCCGGTTCTAATCCCGGCAGCCCCGCTTCCCTTCCAGCTCCCTGCCTGTGGCCTGGGAAAGCAGTCGAGGACGGCCCAAAGCTTTGGGACCCTGCACCCGCGCGGGAGACCCGGAAGAGGCTCCTGGCTTCGGATCGGCATAGTATCGGCCCGTTGCGCTCACTTGGGGAGTGAATCATTGGACGGAAGATCTTCCTCTCTGTCTCTCCTCTCTGTATATCCGCCTTTCCAATGAAAAAATAATAAAAATAAATCTTTAAAAAAAAAAAAAAAGAAACCCATTCAGATCCTTCTCCTGGATCCCCATTCCATAACCCAGGAAGGAAAGAGTCTCGTCCATCAGGTGGTCACTGTGTGCAGGTTGGGCTGTTGTATTTGGCAGGGCTAGTCAGAGTCTGCCTTGTGGATGAGGACCCATCTTTTGGCTTCACTGTTTCCTAGGATAGTATATGCTGTTGTGAGGATCAAATCAAATCACATTTATGAAAGAGTGCCATGAAAAAGGAAAATTTAGTTGTAACTCATAAGACTAGAGTTGGTAACCCATGGAAAGAACATGGAATCCAAACTGGTTTTGCAGGTGTAGTACCTTCCATGCGATGTAAATTTTATAGATATCCTGGATACTTAATAAGCCCTATACATTGAAATCAATCATTTACCTTATCTGGGGTTTAATTCTAGAAGGGGAGGGCAGGTCTTTTTGAGACCAGGTCACCTATTCTGAAGAGAAGGTGTCTGAGAACAATGGTGGTCATTACTTGGTTTTCTAAAAACTAATACAGTAAACAGCTAGGACTAAACCAAAGATGTCTGAAGGGGAAAATGGCTGGATAGGATCTGTTTCTATAAAGTAAGAGTGCCTGTAAAGAGTGCCTTATGTTGCTAGAGATACTTTGTTCTCATTAACCTTGTCACAAAGAAGCTCTGATGAGTATACTAGATGTATGCATGCCATAACACTTGAGATCACGCTGTCCCTCAGCTGAACACATCTATTGAATTCCCTGCACCTTCCTGCACTATTAAAACAAGCATGCAAAGGAAAAATCACACACACAAAGGAAAAATCCTATAAACTTTCATTTAAATTTTTGTTTTAGACATTCTTGAGATTACAGCATCTATTTTATTCAATTAAAGCCTTAAATTACATTCTGTTTCAAAGGGTTCAGAAGGCAACACAGACTAGCTGTCTTAGTTCTAACCTGCTGTGTAGGCTGGAGTAAATTATTTAACTTATTTGTGCTGTTTTTGGAGGAGAAGTAACATGAGTCTGCTTCTTGAGTGTTCCTAGAACACTTAAAAACATCTTGGCATTCATTATCTAGAGTAACTCGTGGCTGAGTGCTTTCCTTTGATGGCAGTGGGCTTCAAGGTTTCAGTCACAAATGTTCTTGGCATGATTCTAAGTCACAGTGAGATGTACCATCATCTTACTAAGAATTTTTTAAGATAACAGTAGGGAGAAACAAAGTATGTAACAATGGTAGTATATCTCTGGATTCCAGCTGCACTAAAATGTGAAATATTTACATCTACCCATTGAGGAAATGTAGTGCTGCTTATCTCCTAGAGCTGTTGTGAACATTAAATGAGATTATATTTAAGAATATAATTGCATACTCTTAGGTGTTATAAATATTGATACTTGCTTGATCTGCTGTATAGCTCAGCCTTTAATAATGTACTAAAAAAACCTAGGTGTCACCAATCGAGATTAAATTTCTTAAGAGTAATTTTTGAAAGGTAAGATATGTCATTCTTAACAACAATTAGTCAACAGACTTTAGAATAAGCAGGAGATTGCAAGTTAAATGAACCCATCACTAAATTTTATAATGGAGGGAAATGAGGGTCAGAGATACAAAATGATTTTGTGTACCTATGGCCCACGGCACAGCAGCTGGGACAGAGAGGACTTTCCAAACAGTTATTGCTGACAGCAGCTAGTACTTGCAGTTAGATACAGTGAGGCACCAGAGCTGGCTGTGTGATAGCGCCAACACTGCAGCTGGGGGATGCCGATCCTCCAAATGCACAAACATAGCCTTAGCTAAGTCCAGGACAAGCCTAGACCAATTTAGGTTGTGGCATTGGGATGGTGGGAATTGAGGGCAGGTGAAAAACGTACAGATGTAGGTTAAACTGGCTTCCTCCCCATGGAAAACAGAATCAGGCTTGGCCTGAGTGAAGGACTGGCTGGAATTCCAAGTCCTCAGACCAGGAGGCCACTCCATCCTCCAAATAGTTAATCTGGATCTGCAATTGACAAAGCAGAAAGGGTCGGGTTCCTGGGAAAGTAGCTATGATTTCCCTCTAGTCATCAAGATGTTGGGCAGGGTGAGGTCACCCGTGGAGCTACAAGAAATGAATCTGAGTGCATTCATCTGTACTCATTTGGCTGCATCTCAGACATGACACCAGATCCCCTAACAGTTATCAAAGCTTTACAGGCAGAAGCTGGCATATGGTAGTTTCATAGGAGGTAGATGAAGATGGGGTGTGACCGTCTCCCACCCTATCCTGTTCCTGCCTGGTCAATCAATGGCTCTAAGATCCTGGGCTGAGGGTAATCACATCTGGTCTCTTCACTGTATGCTCCACCTGGCATTAGGCTGGTCACGTCTTCAACTGGAAACCGGCTGCATGACACAGGCAAAGCTGAACTAAAGAGGATAGGTTTTAAAAATAGGATGTACCCCTCACTCTCACACATCAGTATGGCAGCCCTGGCCCCAGGCAGGCAGGCACTACTAAGTCTATTTCTTTAGGCACCCAGCCTCGTGCTGCAAGGACTAGCCAGCGGGCATTCTCTATTTGCAAACAACCTAGGACCAAGAGGCATGACTCCAATCTTGTCTTGGCCTTTAAACAAATGGTGTTCCTAATAGTTAGTCTGTTTCTTGCCACTGTGAAACTTCTGTAGGCTGAGCATGCGGTGCTAGAGCCCACCTTCTGCCTGCCACCCACTGGACCTCCCACCCCGCGGTTCCCTGGGTGGCGCAGAAAGAGCAGCCAGTAGATTTCCCACCGCCGCGGGTGGGAAGCTGCTCCCTGCCACTGCAGTAGGGGGAAATCATCCCATTCATAAAACTCACACCGCCCCCCCTCCCGGCTGCTTCCTAGCCTGCAGCCGAGCAGCAGCGTTGGGAAGTGAGCGCTCACCTCCCTGGGCCTGGGGCCCTACACACCAAGGCGTCCACGGGGTGGGCCGAGAAGCCTGGGCTGGCAACCCCTCCGGCGCATGTGCACCTTCGGTCCCCACAGACCGCTGAACTCAACCGCAGACGAGCATCCTGGGCTGGGACATAGAGACAAGATGGCTTGCGACTCAGTTCATAAATAGAACCCCATCCAGAGTTCAGGCTGACCGACATTTTGTGACTTGCATTTGTAGGGAGGAGGGTAGCACAGGTTTCAGAAACGACTGCCCAACTTGACTGCTTATCCTTTTCTAAACGCCTGGCTTTTAGTGCCCTGTTCTTACGGGCGGCTAGTGGCAAAGGGGTGGGAGTGGGGGCGGGGAGCCGGGTGAGGGGTGAAGGATGGGGAGGGTAGCGACAAAGGCGGGTAGGTGTCCTAAAGCCAGACTCGCTCTCCATCCCAATGAAGGGTGGTTCTTGTCCTCCTTGCGAAATCCTTAACGCTGCCGCTGCTGCTGTCTTCCCTAGTAGCAGGAGACGAGCCCTCATTCGCCGAGCTACCGCCTCCCCGCCCCCTCCCCACTACTCTTGGCTCTGGAAATTACAACTCCGGGCGGGCGCGCTGAGCAGGCAGGCGGCGGTGGCGGCGGGGAGGGGATCCCCGAGCCTGCCTGGCCCTAGCCCTCCGCCCGCCCGCTGCAGCGTCGCTCGGCCAAGGTCAGAGGCGCTGCAGGAGCAGCAGCTGCTAACCAGGGAAGTGGGTCAATCCCAACGGCAGGAAGAAAGCCCCAGAGAGCAGCTGTCCCACACTCGTCGCCGCCTGCGAGGAAGGCTGGTCCGGCTTGGCTGCGGTGGCTGCTACGACCTGGCGGGTGGCGCGGCCCAGCTGTTGGCAAGCTGGGGAGCTCCCGCCCCAACAGCTGCTCCGGGCGCTGTCCACCGCCGCGTGGTGCTGAACCAGCGCTCAGCCGAGCCTGCGCACCCGCCAGCTCACCTGCCGATCAGCCAGATAGGGGGCAGGCGGGAAAAGGTGGCAGTCTCTGGGCAGCTGCCCTCCGCAATCGAGGACTGGATGCCGAGAGCCCGCGGGTAACAACACGGTCACTGGTCCTGGCGTGCAGAGGAGGCACGCTCTGTTGCCAGCTGCGGAGTGAGTGCTGATTCATCACCTGGAGCGCCTTGCAGGCCACTGCCAGGGCAGACGAGCAGCCTCAGACTGGTCTCAGGTGCAGGAACCTCGAGAGCAAGAGGTGAGGACCCCCTCCCTTCTCCTGCCCACACACACCCTCCCCACCGTCTTAGGGCGGTGGCCACAGGACAGAGAGAGGGGCGTGCCCTCCCTCCCCCGCCCCCCTCGGTATTGAAGCGGTATTAGTGCCTGGGTGATGCTTCGGATTCCATCCCACCGGCGCTAACCGCGCTTGCCCTCCTGCGCCCGTTTCCGGAGCTCCGGCCTGTTTTCTCCAGCTCGGGCTACCGGCATCGCCATGGAGGAGGAGCTGAAGTGTCCAGTGTGTGGCTCCCTGTTTCGGGAACCCATCATCCTGCCCTGTTCCCACAATGTCTGCCTGCCTTGCGCTCGCACCATCGCAGTGCAGACACCAGACGGAGAGCAGCACCTGCCCCCGCCGCTCCTGCTTTCCCGGGGATCCGGGCTGCCTGCAGGCGCCACCACGGCTGCCCCGACTCTGGACCCAGACGCAGCGGTGGGGCCAGCCTGCAGCGGCGCAGGCGGGGGCGCAGCGGGAGGCCTGGGCGGCGGCGCTGGAGCTGCAGGAGACCACGCAGACAAGCTTAGCCTGTACAGCGAGACAGACAGCGGCTACGGCTCCTACACACCCAGCCTCAAATCTCCCAATGGGGTTCGAGTGCTGCCCATGGTGCCGGCGCCACCGGGCTCGTCGGCTGCCGCGGCCCGTGGTGCCGCCTGCTCGTCTCTGTCCTCATCCTCAAGCTCCATCACGTGCCCACAGTGCCACCGCAGCGCCTCTTTGGACCACCGTGGCTTGCGTGGCTTCCAACGCAACCGGCTGCTCGAGGCCATCGTGCAGCGGTACCAGCAGGGCCGCGGGGCCGCGCCCGGGGCCTCCGCACCCGCGCCCGTGGCCATCTGCCAGTTGTGCGATCGCACCCCACCGGAGCCCGCAGCCACACTCTGTGAGCAATGCGACGTGCTGTACTGTGCTGCCTGCCAGCTCAAGTGCCATCCATCCCGGGGGCCCTTCGCTAAGCATCGCCTGGTGCAGCCGCCGCCGCCGCCTCCAGCTCCGTCCGAGGCCTCCGGCGCGGTCCAGGGCGCCTCTAGCGGAGGCAGCGGCTGCAGGAGCCCCGGAGGTGCGGGCGGCTCAACGGCTGGCGGCAGTACGACCGGAAAGTTCCCCACGTGTCCGGAACATGAAATGGAGAACTACAGTATGTACTGCGTGAGCTGCCGAACCCCAGTATGTTACCTATGCTTAGAGGAGGGCCGGCATGGCAAGCATGAGGTGAAGCCGCTGGGGGCCATGTGGAAGCAGCACAAGGTGAGCGAGCGCGGTGCCTCTAGGAGGGCGCAAGGAGAAGGGGTGAAGCCAGAAGTGCCTCTGCATGCACCACCCCCTTTAGTCCTTTCACAGACACTTGCTGAATGCTCTTCAGGTGCTCTCAGCTGGTTAGGGGCGAGGTGGAGGGGAGAGAATGGAAACAGGTGACGCCCAAAGTTCCCTTTCAGCCCCTCCTATTGTTCTGCATTTAGTGTCCCCCAAAATGAAGCAGAATTCGTTTACTCCCAAATGCTTCCTAAAAACCCCTCCTGCTTTGACCTTTGCAGTCCCCCTTCTCCCCCCCCACCCGCCCCCTTTTAAGTCTGTTACCAACTGGCTGCAGGAAAATATCTAATGTCTTCTCTTACCCTGCTAATCAGCAAGGCATCTCTCTAGCTCTCATGAAGGGATACCCAATTTCCTGCTACAAATACATACACACACTCACACACTCCCCCAGTTCGCTTCTGGAGCAGAGATTTTCCGGATCTTTCTGTCAGTCTCCCAGCCTATAGGAAAGATGGAATTCCTTCTGGGCCTTGTTTGAGCCTCTGGTTCTGTGTGCACCGCCACAAAGGGAGCCTGTTTTCTCCAGAGCCCCCTCTCTTGCCTGGGACTCTGCCCCGGGGCCCTGGGAGAGTGAGGGAGTCCCTGAATGAGCTCTTAGAAGACAGCCAGGCACACCTGCATCCCCAGGCTGGCCACAAGCCTTCTGCCTCTGGAACTCGAAGGGTGGGGGGTGGGGGTACAGCCCCCAACAACTTCTGTATGAAATGTGTCTTTGTATCTGATGCTGGCAGAGAGGGTGGGTGGGAGGAAATCTGGTCAGGCCCTTGACTTGGCCTCAAGGAAAAACTTGGGGTCAGTTTTTCTCACATTCACCTAGATTTCCTTTCCGAAGATCTGAAGAGTGACTGGGCTCATTGCCCAGGGCTATGGGTTAGGTCTGGCAAATTGGTGCCCCTTCTTCAAGGGCCCCCAACTGCACCTGCATTTCGGACAACACTGATTCAGTGAACTCTTTCCAGGAAATGCTCACCCAGAAGAGGCAGGAAGTCTCTAAAACTGCCTGGCTAGACATACAGTGTGTATTGGGACGAGGAGGAAAGATACAGGAAAACAAAGCCATTGCCAAGGCCATCTTCGGCCATCTAGCTGGGAATCAGTAAAAAAGAAAGCACAGAAGGGAGGGAAAAAAAGAGACTGTTCGTATGTAGATTTGCTGTTCGTATATATAGAACAGATATAGTTTTACTATACATAATTTCATTTGCTACAGTGAACATTTTTTTATTGTAATTTAACATTTTAAAATAAAAATTATGATAAAAGCAATTTGGGAACACTTTAGAAATCCACCTTGGCATAGCAGACTAGAAAAAAGGAACAAGGAGGGCAGATTCCTAGTTTTGGAGCAATTGAGGCCAATTTCTATCTGCCACCCTGAACCTCCTAAGGACATTTGGCAATATCTGAGACATTGTCTCACCTAGTGGGTGCCACTGGCATTTAGCGGGTAGAAGTTAGTGGGAGAGGGCTACTTAAAACCCTACCATGCATAGGGAAACTCAAACAATTAACTAGTCCCAAAAGTCAACGGCACCTCTGGTGAAACCACACTTGCAATGATTAAGAGCTGGCTCCAGCTGACAGTGTCTGCAGTTTACCAACTGTATGAATTAGGCATACATTTCAACTCACCAAAAATTACATTAGGGATTAGACATATAAAACTGCCTGTTTAGCTTTTAGCACAGTATCTGGCCCATGAAATGTTGCTTGTTATTTTTATCATTATGATACTTAAAACCACTAGATTCACAGAAATCTCTAGGGCAGCAGCCAAGACCTCTCCTGTGGCCTCAGTAACTTGGTTGCCTGGAGAAAAGGATAAGCTGGTAACCTTTGGTATTGTTAATTCTGATTCCTAAAGTAGTTCTCAGAATATATATCTTGAATTAATTATCATTCATATGACATTCTATGGCATACTGCTTCATGTTAATGGTAGCTGCCTTACTTAGCTCATCTTTTAAAGTAATTAGATGACATCTTACAAGTTGAAAAATCCCATTTATAAAGAGACTGAGATCAATCACCAAGGCAAGAAGTTCTACATCTCACATTAGTATTTCACAGTTGTTAACTTTTCACAGCAAGGGGGGAATAAACTAAGCTTAGGAGTGACCGCTCAAATGTTAAGAATTAGGGACTGGTGTGGCAAAATGGGTGAAGCTGCTGCCTACAACACAAGCATCCTATCTGGGTGCTGATTACAGTCCCGGGGTGCTCCATCTCCAACCCCACTCTCTGCTAATGCACCTGAGAAGAAGTAAAGGACCACCCAATCCATGGGTCTCTGCACCCACATGGGAGGCTCTGATGAAGTTCCTGGTTCCTGGCTTCAGCCAGGCCCTAGTCATTACAGTCATTTGGGGAGTGAACCAGTGGAGAGAAGATCCCTCTCTCTCTAATTTTGTCTTCCAAATAAATAAAATAAATATTTAAAGAAGAATTAGTGAAGAACAGAAACTGAAAAGAGTTGAGGTAAGGACTTGAAATCACAAAAAAATAAATATTTGTCTTACATGGAAAAATTGAGTTGGCTAATACATCTTACTTTCAATAACCACTGTCGCATAGGGATAAATCATTCATCATCCATGGCTTGATATTGAGAGCAGTTTTGTAGAATTTCCATTCTCAATGAACAATTGCAAAGTTATACAGAAATATGGAAGCACATGTGCTTTCTGACGTTAGTAAGATAGCCTGGGGGATAGGACTACACAGGACCTGCTGTTTTCAAGTGTTGTTGCTTAAGGGAACTAAGGCAACCTCCTAAATTCAGAAGGAATGTCACTTAGGTGGGAACCTGTTTCCAAAAACTAGCAAGAGATCTCCTGTGCTCTGTCAGCACGTGCTGCTGTTTTTCTACAGAAGGGGAAATGCTGAGTGTCTATTTTGAGCATCTCAAGTGGGAGCTGGAAAAGACAAGACAAGCAAGCAAGCCCTGGGCAGCCTTTGATGCATAGGCATCCAGACCACCACGTAAACTCAGAGAGGCTACTTGAAAATATTCTATAATATTCCATCTCTGACTCCTACTAGGCATGTTAAGTTCTTTAGTAAATCTTAAAATCTCTGGATTGTGTTTGTGTGTGTGTTCTTTTGCCCGAAAATCCCAGACTCCATGACAAAGCCTACTTGTGCTAACATTCCTGTGGTTGGAGAAGCCTTCGCCAAATCCTTGCTTTAACTCCACTCCGCATACCTGATTATGTGATTCCTAGGTAAAAAGACATATAGGTGACACTGAAATCTATTTTAAAACAAGATTGATTGTCACCTTTTGAAAACAGTGTGAAAAAAATTTAGTCTGGCTAGACACATTTTTATATGATTCTTCTGGAAGATAATTAACCATTTCAAAGAACTTCTGATGTGAAGAAATTCTGGGTGCTGTGAAAAGCAGGACAGTGAAGGGGAGCTTTCCCAGGATGGTGTTTGCCTTTACATTTTTTAATGTATTTATTCAAGTGGGGGAGAGAGAGAGTGAGAGGGAGAGTGAGAGCGAGAGAGATAGACAGAGGTGAATGGAGTTGCCTTAAATGTGCAGGGCTGAAGCCACCTGAAGCTATAAGCCAGGTATCCCATGTGGGTGGCAGGAACCCAATCACTTGAGCCATCACAGATTGCCTCCCTTGGAAGGAAGCTGGCTAGAATCAGGAACCAGAATCAGGTATGGAATCAGGTACTGTGATGTGAATGTGAAATTTTACCCAGCACCTCTAAAAAGGTATTCATTTGTCTGAAAAGCAAGGTTATTATTTGCCTATTTGAAAGGCAGAGTTGGAGAAAAAGAGAGAGATCCCCTTTGCTGGATCACTGGTCATAAAAGGTCTGGGCAAGCTGAAACCAGCAGCTAGGAACACTATTCTGGTGTCTCATAGTACACAGGGTTAGGCCACAGCTTGAGACACTAGCATCCCACACTAGCATGCCAGTCCAAGTCACAGCTGCCGCACTTCTGATCCAATACATACATAAATTAAATACTTAAAAAGGCATACACTGGAGTAGGTATCTGGCCTGATGGTTAAGCCAAGGGGCAGGCACTGAGGCACAGTGGGTTAAGCTGCCACTTGGGATGCCTGTATCCATACAGTAACACCAGAATGGAGTCTGGTCTCTTGTTTTCCATCCAGCTACTGTACCTGGGAGAAGGCAGATGATGGTCCAAGTTTTTGGATCTCTGCACCCAAATGGGAAACCCAGATGCAGTTCCTAACTTCTGGTTTTAGCCTGTCTCAGTCCTAGCTGCTGTAGGCATTTGGAAAATAAACCAGTAGATGGAGGATCTGAATCTCTTGCCCCAACCACCCAACCCATCACTTTGCCTTTCAGATAAATGAATAGCTTTTTAGAGGTGCTAGGTAGGAAACCATGTCCATATTGGAGTACCTGGGTTCCAATCCTGCTTTGAGTTCCATACCTGATTCTGGTTCCTGAATACTAGTGCCAGAAATAATGTTTAGGTTTACCAGTTGTGAGTACAGAGACAATATGGTGCTCAAAGAGTGCATGGCCCAGAGATGGGCAGTAACCTCTGAGGGGTTACAGCTTTAGGGGCCTGATGAGAAAGGGGCTCTAGAAAACTGCTTTTTGCTGCTTCCCTCGGATTGAAAAGGAACTTTTTCATTGTTTGGGTTTCCTTTTAGTTTGTGTTTCATAAAGAAGCAGAGAAAATGTCTTATCTAATTCTTCTCCACTTTCTAAGGGGCTGTCCAGGCAGTGGTAGAGATGATGACAGTCATGCCAGGGATCCCTTCAGAGGGTCTGGCTGACCTTGGCAGGAGTTTCAGTACATTCATTCTACTCTGTTTAGAATTTCCCTCTGCTTTGCTCTTCATAACAAAAACTGTAAGGGACTTAAAGTTTTGTTTTTAAAGGTTGGCTCTTTCCCAATAGAGGTTATAAACTGGAACCTCCTCAATTTG